ACATACATACATACATACATACATACATTACACACGTTACATACATAGATACATAGATACATAGATACATACATACATACATACATACATACATACATACATACATACATGCATACCTACATACATACCTACATACATACATACATACATACATACATACATACATACGTTACACACGTTACATACGTTACATATGTTACATGCATTACATACATTACATACAGTGCATATATTACGTACATTACATACAGTACATACTACATACATTCCATACAGTACATACATACATACATACATACATACATACATACATACATACATACTCAATGGCTCAGGGATGGCTATAGGCAAAGTTACATGCACCTTGCCTTAATTATAGCCGCTCTTACGAGCAACCCATCCTTAAATGGGGATCCTTGCTGAAACCTTCCTCTGTAAGAGATCGATGCGGCAGCTCTTGGGGCTTAAGAGCCTAGTGAACTGCAACCCTAAACCCTAAACCCTAAACCCTGAACCCTAAACCCTAAACCCTGAACCCTAAACCCTGAATCCTGAACCCTAGGGTTTAGGACTGCATGGTAGTGATGTCATCATGCGGAGGGACACAGGGGACGCAGCCGGCAAAAGCCCCTAAACATCCGCCAACAAAAGCAGTTTAGGGTTTAGGGTTTAGGGTTTAGGGTTTAGGGTTTAGGGTTTAGGGTGCATCGCCCTATTTTGAAAACACGCCCCCTGCATGTCAAGCATCCGATGGCATCGGCGGGGCCAACGCCCGGTCGATGTGCTTTCAGCGGTGAGGACTTGCAGGGGAATCATAAGGCGGCCCAACCGGAAACCCAAAACGTAAAGCAACCGTAGCTGTGAGAAGGCGAAGAAACAGTTCAACCACAAGACAAGGGAACCCCAAACCCTGAACAAAACCCCACACCGGGATTTGGAGTTTGACGTGCTTTTGGCGCACATTTGTGAGGTGCAGGTCACTCGCAGCGGTGGAGCGGAGAGGAGTCTCGCAAAAACAGAGCTCTGGCACTGGAAGGGAAGGGCTTTTGGGGTTCGAAGGGCTTTTGGCTTCGAAGGGCTTTGGGGTTTAGGGGTTGGGGGTCTAGGGTTCAGGATCTAGGGTTTAGGGTTGAGGGTTCAGGATCTAGGGTTTAGGAGTTTAGGTTGTATCGGATTCGGGCTTCGTCTCTCCTCGAAACATTCTGGTAGGGCGGGTGCGGTGTATGTGTGTGTGTATACATATGTATATAAATTATGTATATGCATATATATATATATATATATATGCTACCCCCGCTGGCGTACCTACCTGTGTGTATATATATATACACACCTACATATCCATATTCATTGCCTATTGGGTTTTATCCCTCCTGTGGGAACCCTCAAGAACAATCCCTGCGAACCCGGATGTATCTTGAAAGCCTGTCACACGGAATCGGACACACTGATTATTGTCATCAGAACTGAACTCAAGCAGAGGTCATCCTAAGCTTGAGGTAGCCTGAAGGTACAGGTAGCTCCGCTGCTGACGGTGCTGCAGAATAACCAAAACCCAGAACACCGAACCGGTAAACCCTAAACCCTAAACCCTGAAACCCTAAACCCTAAACCCTTAAAACACCGCTTTCTTTCAGGCACCGAACCCCTCGGATCGGTCCCGATGGACTTCCCCCCTTCCGCCACCGCAGCAAACTTAGGGCCAGGTCAGGCCTCACCTGCTTGAAATATCATGCTAGTCAGGGCTTCGGGGCTTTAGGGTTTGGGGTTTAGG